CCTTCTCTGGACTTCCACAAATAATTCAAGATCAAAATAAGCCAAATCGGTCCAACCGTTCTCGAGTTTTAGCGAGACTAACGAACAGCAATTCATTTTACATATATATATATATAGATTATAAGCCTATGTATTATTCTAATGCAGCGGTCGGGGAACTTTTTTAATTACTATCCCAAAATATTTTTGTGTAAGTTCATATTACCCCATGGCGAAGAACAAAAAAAAACGAAATTGCTTCTTTTTAGCATCTTTCATATTATTATAGCCCCCATGATAATTTTGAAAAGAAAACAATAACTAAAAATTTTAATTATAAATAAATTCAAATAAAAGAATAGATCCTAAAGATGTTTCACTTCAGTATATACAATATTTGCTTATCACTCACAAAAGTTTAATTTTTACCCCCCAAAATTTAATTTTACCCCATTTAGGGTAATTTATCCCGGTTCCCCGACCGCTGTTCTAATGTGTCAACTATATTATTGTAAAGTTTCATCAAAATTCATTCAGAGTTTTTACGTGACGTAACAAACATACATTCATATATTCTTACAAACTTTCGCCTTTATAATATTAGAAGGATTATCAATTTTCACACATCGACTATAAGCTTACGCAAATATTACTAATGTCCGCCTGGGAAGGTACCACCGCACTACCTGTTTCTGCTACTAAGCAGTAATGCGTTCCGATTTGAAAAAGAACGATAGCCGTTTTACAAGACAACTTCGTCTTCGATCTCCGGTGACCGCTTAACACGAGATGTACCGTCGGTCAACCGTCTATGCAATAAAAGAAATCATATTTGAATAAGCGTAAATCAATATATCAAACACCGCGTTTGTTTTAAACAAAAACAATAACTTATTAGAATTACACTAATTAAAAAAAAAATCTAACGTACTTCATAAGTTATTTGTAATATTAACACACTGAGAGTACGATATCTAGAAATAAAAGATTTTTATTTTATTTTTATTGCTGTTCTATGTAGGTATTATTCTATGTTCACAATTTTGCAACTCCAAATTAGGAGACTTTTTGACGGGAACGCGAGGAGTGAAGTTGTGTGATTTGTTTTATTTTGTCTATTTAGTGTTTCTTCAGGTTTAAAAGTGTTATAACGGTGGTTTATTAACTGTTTAATATCCTGTGAAAGTGCATAAATATGGGAAAAAGAAACAAAGCCGCTGGACGTAACTTCTCGGGATCCTCCAAAAAGTCCACTGAAAACTCAGTAAATGACCACCATTTTACTGAGATTATATTCCATCCCATATCATCTCATTTCATTTAATTTCATCCCTGTTGATTAATGTCTCAAATTAATCATCTTCATTTCATTTCACTCCATATTATCATTTTTGATAAAAATAAGAATAAAATTTAAAATAAGACATGACTTAAAGGTCTTAGTTACCGGGTCATAAAATCCCTTTAAAAAAAACTCCAAATTAGAATCATCGAAAAATTCTCGCTTCACAACACACCTTAGTGCATTAACCCCGTCGCTTGTCACATTTTTTAATGCATTGCGTGCCTTTGAATACATTGCGTGCCGTACAATACGTACTACGTGATACCATCACCAATACCGTCTTTACCATAAGGGCACACGGGGCCCGTGCCCAGGGACCCCATTCTTTTTTTTTTTTTTTTATGATTGAAGGATTACTGGTGGCCCGGAGGCCTTTCCAGTTTCACCAGGACAGGTGGGCGAGCAAAGGCTCAGCCAGGAGGGGTGGGATTTGCTAACAGCTACCCGAGCGCCTCCAAAGGAGACCTAACAGCTCAAGAGTAGCTGCTTTGCGAATGAATCTACTACCGGATCGGAATCGCGACTCGCTGAGAAGATCCGGCGAGAAACTCAGCGAGCTGATTCATGGGTTAGGTTGCACGGCGAACTCTTTGTCGAGTTCGACGAGTACGGTTACCGATGTCCCTAAGCCTGCTCCTAGTGTTAGAGCTGAAGGCGTCTAATGCAAAGGTTATTGGATCTGATGGATCNAGGTACCTCAAGCACCGGTCACCGTCCTCGTCGAACCCGTCGCTTGCGACGAAGGGCTCGACGAGCGAATTAACCCACAGACAGCCCACTGAGTTTCTCGCCGGATCTTCTCAGGGGGTCGCGTTTCCGATCCGGTGGTAGATTCTGCGTAGCACTGCTCTTGCTAGGGCCAGTGTTAGCAACACTCCCGGCTTGAGCCCCGTGAGCTCGCCTATATGTTAGGGCGAAGCTGAAATAGCCTCTCAAGGCTATGAGCATAGGTAAGAAAGAAAAAGGTTACGTAGCAAACATAAGTACATTCATAAATTCTTACAAACTTTCGCCTTTATAATATTAGAAGGATTATCAATTTTCACACATCGACTATAAGCTTACGCAAATATTACTAATGTCCGCCTGGGAAGGTAGCACCGCACTACCTGTTTCTGCTACTAAGCAGTAATGCGTTCCAGTTTGAAAAGTGCGATAGCCGTTTTACAAGACAACTTCGACTTCGATCTCCGGTAACCGCTTAACACGAGATGTACCGTCGGTCAACCGTCTACGCAATAAAAGAAATCATATTTGAATAAGCGTAAATAAATATATCAAACACCGCGTTTGTTTTAAACAAAAACAATAACTTATTAGAATTACATTAATAAAAAAATAAAAAATCTAACATACTTCATAAGTTATTTGTAATATTAACACACTATGAGAGTATGATATCTAGAAATAAAAGATTTTTATTTTATTTTTATTGCTGTTCTACGTATTATTCTATGTTCACAATTTTGCAACTCCAAATTAGGAGACTTTTTGGCGGGAACGCGAGGAGTGAAGTTGTGTGATTTGTTTTATTTTGTCTATTTAGTTGTTTCTTCAGGTTTAAAAGTGTTATAACGGTGGTTTATTAACTGTTTAATATCTGTCAAAGTGCACAAATATGGGAAAAAGTCGCTGGACGTAACTTCTCTAAATGACCACCATTTTACTGAGATTATATTTCATCCCATATCATCTCATTTCATTTAATTTCATCCCAGTTGATTAATGTCTCAAATTAATCATCTTCATTTCATTTCACTCCATATTATCATTTTTCATAAAAATAAGAATATAAGTTAAAATAAGACATGACTTAAAGGTCTTAGTTACCAGGTCACAAAACCCTTTAAAAAATAACTCCAAATTAGAATCATCGAAAAATTCCCGCCTCACGACACACCACTGAGTTTCTCGCCGGATCTTCTCAGTGGGTCGCGTTTCCGATCCGGTGATAGATTCTGCGAAGCACTGCTCTTGCTAGGGTCAGTGTTAGCAACTCTCCGGTTGAGCCCCGTGAGCTCACCTACAAACGTTAGGGTGAAGCTGAAATAGCCTCTCAAGGCTATCAGCATAGGTAGAAAAAAAAAAGGAAAAAAAAAAACGACACACCTTAGTGCATTAACCCCGTCGCTTATCACATTTTTTAATGCATTGCGTGCCTTTGAATACATTGCGTGCCGTACAATACGTACTACGTGATACCATCACACACTTATCATATGTACCACTACCACCAAAGAGGTCTTCGAGCGAAAGTTGATCTCTAAAAGTGCTGTTTTCAAAGTTTCATAATACAATAAAAGCAGTAATGTATTTGTATGCGTAAATCGTAAGAGAAAGTATCAATTTGGCATTACTCGAGCTAAAGCGTTTGCCTACTGTCTCTATCTATATTTATGTGGGTTAATTTATTATTGCGTTTTGATAGCTTAGCGGTTTTCTGAATAATAGTGAATACGTATTGATACAAGCTAACATCAAACGTAAAAAAACATTTCCAACACACGATACATACACGACATGTACACGATAATCGGTAACGATTTTGATATCGTGTCGGCCGATGTAAAAGCGCTCAAACAATGCCAATAAAAATATTTACCGTTGATTAAATAAATTCACTATACGTATTTTTATTATAGAATGTATACCTATTCGGAATGTATATTGAAGTGGTTATCTTAAGAAGTGTTTTACCTATTCACACACTTAATCAAGGGCACATTCAAAATTTGCTATTTCTTCTTTATTTTTAATTCGGATACTACCTAAGTATTTTTTTATTTTTATTTTGAGTCCCCAATAGCTCTACTATGAGGTGTTTCAGGATTATCCATTATTTCAGGGACACCCTGTATATCAATGAGACCGTCGGATGGAACTGAATGGAACATAGGTATTATGCTTAAGCACTAGAAAAACCTCACAATTCAAACTGGAACCCCAGTTGCCGCAAAATTAGGAGGATGACGGTTAGCCCATATACAGAAAATATTAATTTAACTAGCTGGAGGAATCCGTCCGACGGGGGACACATCAAAGGAAAAACAAAATTGTTATTTTTATTTAATTCCGAGCATTTGCATATTTATTTACCTTTTAAACCTTCTCTGGATTTCCAAAAATAATTCAAGACCAAAATTAGCTAAATCGGTCCAGCCGTTCTCGAGTTTTAGCGAGACTAACGAACAGCAATTCATTTTTATATATAGAGATTAACTATATTAATGAGACCGTCGGATGGAACATAGATAGATAGAAGCACTAGAAAAACCTCACAATTCAAACTGGAACACCAGTTTGCCGCAAAATTAAGATGACGGTTAGTCCAAATACAGAAAATACGAATTTAATATTAAAAGAATGATATGACCAAATGATCATGGTTCTACACTCTTCGCATATACGGGTGTTACTGTGTTACTTATAATATTTGCTATGTGTATGTGCTATAATTCTCATGTTGTATTTGTTATTTTAGTTATGTGTTATTTGTTCTACACACACTTATCACTTTTTATTATTATTCTCATTTTCCTCTCGCAGGTCTGCTGGAAGAGATTTCTCAAAGAAATAAGCAGTGCCTTTGTACATAATTTTCCTATTACTCTGTACTGTGTCTTGTTTTCTGTGTGTACATAAATAAATAAATAAAATAAAAAATAAGAATACTCACTCAGAGCGACGTTTCAAATAATTTGTGAACTGAATATTTTATTAACGCGTTTGTTTTTTGGAGCGTTTCGATAAAACCAGAGTCTTGCTTCGGCGGCGACTCGCGCTCGTCAAGGCTTCCAAGCGACTAAGGTTGTCGCGCGTTCCGACTGATTACGACCGAGGTTGTGCTCTAACACACATGAGTCCGTAATAAAATTTAAAGGACTCGCATTTTTTTTTCTACCTATTATAGTGACATCGAGTTGTCATGCTTTTTTACTGGTGGTAGGACCTCTTGTGAGTCCGCACGGGTAGGTACCACCACCCTGCCTATTTCTGCCGTGAAACAGTTATGCGTTTCGGTTTGAAGGGTGGGGCAGCCGTTGTAACTATACTGAGACCTTAAAACTTATATCTCAAGGTGTGTGGCGCATTTACGTTGTAGATGTCTATGGGTTTCAGTAACCACTTAACACCAGGTGGGCTGTGAGCTCGTCCACACATCTAAGCAATAAAAAAAAAATAAAAAAAAAAGATCCGGCTACCATCCAGCTATGGAATGAGCTCTAACCTGGTGACGTTGCTAACACTAGCCCTAGCAAGAGCCGTGCGTCACTGAATCTACCAGCAGATCGGAAACCACTGAGAAGATCCGGCGAGAAATTCAGTGGGCTGTGTCTGAGGGTTAATTTACTCGTCGAGCCCTTCGTCGCAAGCGACGGGTTCGACGAAAACGATGACCGGTGCTTGAGTACCTAAAAGCTCCGTTAGTGGATCGGGAGGATCCGAAATGACGTGTTTTGGGTGACGTCGACTGCTTACCATTTTGTCCGCAGGATCGGGAATGTAGTTACCGGCGGCCACGATGAGAGGGTTCTCGTGTCGTGCCGCTTTCGCGAAATGGCGCAGCACTGATGTCGACTGCATATATTTACTGATGGACTCTAGGTCCAGGTCGTCGTGGAGGTCGATGTTTCTGACGAACCACGGTTTCTCCGAGGGCTATCCTGCAAAAACGGGATTGAATGATTTGAAGGGGTTTCAAGTTAGTGCAGGCAACATTCACGCGAGCGACTTGCATAGGTCGTGACGGGGCGTATTAAAGTTTTGTAGTTTGTAGAACTTATTTCCAAGGGACAATTTACTTCGCTTGCAAATCATCAGATAGACGTGTCCTCCTAGTATGAACGCGGCACGGTCACGTACCGACCTTATTGTAATAAGGACCCCAGTGCACCTAAGGACAATCAAAACTAATTTTACGGTTTAAATCTAGCGGTTCTTAACTGTCATAGTGTTTAGTTTTTTTTTTTTTTTTTNCATAGTGTTTTTTTTTTTTTTTTTTTTTGCCGTATTGGCAGACGATCGTACGGCCCACCTGATGGTGAGTGGTTACCGTCGCTCATCTTAATTTGTATAGTTCTGTTTATATTTAAATTAATTGATATCCCAGTTTACTTTTGTATAAAATAATATGGTAAACTAGCTGAGTCCCGCGATGTTACTCGCGGTTATTTTCGTATCGCGGGTGACACCGCGGGGCGAAGCTAGTCTAAAAAAAGTAGCCAAGCTACTCCTTATATCATCAGCTACCTATCAGTGAAAGTCCCGTCAAAATCGGGACAGCCGTTCCAGAGATTAGCCGGAACAAACAGACAGACAGACAAAATTTAAAAAAAAATGTTGTTTTGGTATACGTACTGTGTATACATAGTTACGCATTTAGTAAAAGTGGCTATTTTATTATTACAAACAGACACTCCAATTTTATTTATTTGTATAGATGACTGTGGTTTAAAAGCAAGAAAATAAGTTACAATAGCAAAAAAATACAACAAAAAGCTTTTCTTTTCTGTTCATTGTGATTCATCTTGGATAACCAAGTTAGTGGTGATATATCAATTAGGATATCAGGTCGAAGTGGTAAATTTTATTATAATTGATCCTTCACGTGTGTGCGAACTTTTAAGTTAATCTGACTTCTTGATATTGCTGATAATCGCGATAAAATGATACCGTTACACAGATATATAATATTACAAATAATATTGTATAACCTATTATAATTTTAATCATTGTTTAATTATTTAATTATCGACTTGTTGTTACTTGATATTATATTGACATTTCTTTTTTTTTTTTTGATATGACATGACATTTATTAGACATGATATTTATCTATACGTGAAGCAAAAACTTTGTATCCCTTTTTACGAAGATTGCGCGGACGGAGGCTTAGGGACCCCGGTAACCGTACTCGTCGAACTCGACAAAGAGTTCGCCGTGCAACCTAACCCATGAATCAGCTCGCTGAGTTTCTCGCCGGATCTTCTCAGCGGGTCGCGATTCCGATCCGGTAGTAGATTCATTCGCGAAGCAGCTGCTCTTGAGCTGTTAGGTCTCCTTCGGAGGCGCTCGGGTAACTGTTAGCAAATCCCACCCCTCCTGGCTGAGCCTTTCCTCGCCCACCTATCCTGGTGAAACTGGAAAAGCCTCCGGGCCACCAGTAATCCTTCAATCATAAAATATATATATATATATATATATGAATTGCCAATGTTATGTACATTATTGTCACATGCATTAGGCCATAAATTAAATAGTTTAAGTTATTTTCAATGTTCAATGTTCGTAATGTGGCAGTACTTTTTTAAATAAATAAATATGTATGTAATTTAATATAAATCTCATTGCACCTACCACTATTTACTCTGCACTACCTTTGGTGGACTGGTAGATAATGCCTTAGGCATTAAGTCCGCCAATGTAAATTTTACATGAAGTGTAATAAATAAATAAATAAATATATAGATACAGATCGAGCTAATCAAATCGAGTTAAAAAGACTCGCATCGAGTCCGTATAACACGTTTATTGAATAAACAGCTGTGTGATAAAAATACGTCACTGATATTTTTAAACATTAAATAAAACACGTTCTTGAATCTAATAAATAAGGCTCGTTTTTGTTTACCTCGAACAATACTTATGACGTTTGTTTTTATCGGAATTCGTAATGCTGTTTCTCACAAAAATGTATATGGTTTAGTGCGTGGAAAATTGCACATGAACTTGGTCGATTTACATTCGCTTTTCTGTTTCTCGAAGTATTATTCTGTTAACACGCTTTTTATGTCCCGGTCACCGTCCTCGTCGAACCCGTCGCTTGCGACGAAGGGCTCGACGAGCGAATTAACCAATAGACACAGCCCACTGAGTTTCTCGCCGGATCTTCTCAGTGGGTCGCGTTTCCGATCCGGTGGTAGATCCTGCGAAGCACTGCTCTTGCTAGGGTCAGTGTTAGCAACTCTCCGGTTTGAACCCCGTGAGCTCACCTACACACGTTAGGGTGAAGCTTAAATAGCCTCTCAAGGCTATCAGCATAGGTAGGAAAAAAATTAGCTTTCTATAGCTTGTTTTTTTTTGGGTTCGAAAGATTACTGTTGGCCCGGAGGCCTTTCTAGTTTGAACAGCACGTGTGGGCGAGCAAAGGCTCAGCCAGTATAGCCTGGTGATGTTGTAACAAAAACTTTAAACGTAATTTTCACCGACTTTAAGGCGACGGATCAACTTGATTTTTTTTTTCGCGCGTACACATCTATGATTGAATAGCGATACAACGTTTTTTTATGAATTCGCTCTAATATCCTGACCGGAATTGACAGCATGAAAAAAATATTGTTAATCCCGATTTGTTAATTAAGACGCGGTTTTTGTTTCACTATTTTAAAACTGGAGCCCATAGACATCTACAACGTAAATGCGCCAACCATCTTGAGATATAAATTCTAAGGTCTCAGGTATAGTTACAACGGCTGCCTTTCAAATCGAAACGCATTACTGCTTCACGGCAGAAATAGGCGGGGTGGTGGTACCTACCCGCGCGGATTCTCGAGAGGTCCTACCACCAGTAAAGTAAGTAAGCGCTTCCTTCATTCGCGTTTTCAATATTCGCGGATTAAAAAAAAGCGACCCAATTCCTATACTGACGGCTAAAGACTTGTGCAGCTTTCGCAGACGCTGGACAGTTAATAAGTCAACGCTCCTATACGCTTAACCACGAAGAAACACTAGTTAACCATTCACACGACTTCGCTCCTCACGTTCCGGACCAAAAATCCATAAAAAACTTTTGAAGTAATTACTAGTTAATGTCGGCAATACAGGTTGAGATGTCTGTAGAATCCAAGGCTTAAATGAACCTTTTTTTACGATCACTTACAGATAAAATTCCCGGAGGTACAGTCAAGCAAACACCTGCAAAATATGCTTTAAGCTTTATGTTTTGATTTATATTCAGTTTGAAAGAGGTACTAATAGGTACAGCGGATACTTTGATCGCGAGATCTGACATCGTTTTCCTGCTAAATACGTAGGGCGTATATTTTTTTGTTTTTTACTAGTGGTAGGACCTCTTGTGAGTCCGCACGGGTTAGTACCACCACCCCGCCTATTTCTGTCGTGAAGCAGTAATGCGTTTCGGTTTGAATGGTGGGGCAATGGTGGTATAGTTGTAACTATACTGAGACCTCAGAACTTATATCTCGAGGTGGGTTGCGCATTTACGTTGTAGACGTTTATGGGGTCCAGTAACCACTTAACACCGGGTGGGCTGTGAGCTCGTCCATCTATTTAACTAATAAATAAATAAATAAAAATGAAAGTACAGCTTATTGATTTCACCTCTATATACACCCGATTATATACCGAGATTGTTTCATATATGTATATAAGTATAAAAGGTAATAATATTTTTTCTATTATTCGCTGGTAGCCTAAGAGTTTATTCCAACTACGCCCAGACAGGTGGGTAAGCTCACGAGCTCAACCTAAGAGAATCTGCTAACACTAGCCCCAGCAAGAGCGGTGCTTCGCACAATCTACCACCGGATCGGAATCGTGACCGACTGAGAAGATCCGGCGAGAAACTCAGCGGGTTGTGTCTTTTAGGTAATGTGTGTTTGTATGTTCCCTATAAGCTTCAGGTAATTCTCTGATTGGGCTAGCGGGCGATCCTGAATTTGTAACGCGATCGGATCAAAGTTAAATCAAAGACTGGCCAGCAAAGCGCGCCTTGATTGACAAGTTTTTAAAACGATAGATTCAAATTTACCTCTCAATGTGGATGACGAT